CCACCCTCCATTGCCACCTCTTCCAAGGCAAGGTCTCCCATGGGGAGTCAGCAGAGCCTGGTACATTCAGTTGAGCCAGGCCCAAGCCCCTCCCCTTGCACTAAGGCTGTGTAAGGTGTCCCTCCCCCTGCACCAAAGCTGTGTAAGGTGTCCCACCATAGGCACTGGATTCCAAAAAGCCCACTCTTGCAGCAGGGATGGATCCTGATCCCACTGCCAAGGAGCCCCTTAAGTAGATCAAGCTGAACAACTGTCTTGCCTATGCAGAGGGCCTAGTCCAGCCCCATGGAGGCTCCACAGCTACTGATTCATGAGTTCCCACTAGTTTGGTTTGGTTGTCTCTGTATGTTTCCCCATTATGATTTTGATATCCCTTGTTCATAGAATCCCTCTTCTATCTCTTTGACTGGACTCCTGGAGCTTGGCTTGATGCTTGGCTGTGGATCTTTGCTTCTGCTTCCATCAGTTACTGGATGAAGGCTCTATGATGACATTTAGGTAAGCCAGTTCAGGCACCCTCTCCACTATTACTAGTAGTCTAAGGTGGGGTCATCTTTGTGGATTCCTGGGAACTTCCGTAGCACCCTGTTTCTCCCCATCCCCATGATGTCTCCCTCTACCATTGTATCTCTTTTCTTGCTCTCCTTTTCTATCCCTGACCCAGCTGTACCATACTCTTCCCTTATGTTATCATCCCTATCCTCCATTGTCCCCTTACCCCCAGTTTGCTCATGGAGATCTCATCTATTTCCCCTTTCCAGGGTGATCCATGTGTCCCTCTTAGGGTTCTCCTCGTTAGCTAGCTTCTCTGGAGCTGTGGGTTGTAGTCTGGTTATCTGCTTTACATATAGTATCTACTTATGAGTGAGTACGTACTATGTTTGTCCTTATGAATCTGGATTACCTCACTCAGGATGATATGTTCTAGTTCCATCCATTGGCCTGCAAATTTCATGATGTTCTTTTTTTACTGCTGAGTAATACTCCATTGTGTATATGCACCACATTTTCTATATCCATTCTTCAGTTGAGGGGCATCTAGGTTGTTTCCAGGTTCTGGCTATTATGAATAATGCTGCTACGAACATAGCTGAGCATGTGCCTTGTGGTATGATTGAGCATTCCTTGGGTATATGCCTAAGTGTGGTATAGCTAGGTCTTGAGGTAGATTGATTCCCAATTTTCTGAGAAACTACCATACTAATTTCCAAAGTGGTTGTACAAGTTTGTACTCCCACCAACAGTGGAGGGGTGTTCCCCTTGCACTGCATCCTCTCCAACATAAGCTGTCTTCAGTGTTTTTGATCATAGCCATTCTGATAAGTGTAAGATGGTGTATCTCAGAGTCATTTTGATTTTCATTTCCCTGATGACTAAGGATGTTGAGCAATTCCTTAAATGCCTTTCAGCCATTTGAAATTCTTTTTTTGAGAATTCTGTTTATCTCTGTAACCCATTTTTAAATTGAATTGTTCAGTATGTTTATGTCTAATTTCTCGAATTCTTTATGTATTTTGGAGATCAGCCCTCAGTCAGCTGTGGGGTTGGTGATGATCTTTTCTCATTGTGTAGGCTGTCTTATTGACTGTGTCCTTTGCCCTACATGTCCTTCTCAATCTCTTTCGATTGATTTTAGTTTGAAGTCTATTTTGTTAGATATTAGGATAGCTATACCAGCTTGTTTCTTGAGTCTATTTGATTGGAATGACTTTTTTCCAGCCTTTCACACTGAAGTAGTGTCTGTCTTTGAAGCTGAGGTGTGTTTCTTGTATGCAACAGAAGGATGGATCCTGTTTTTTTGTTTTTTTGTTTTTGTTTTTTTTATCCATTCTGTTAGCCTGTGTCTTTTTATAGCTGAATTGAGTCCATTGATATTAAGGGATATTAATGACCAGTGATTGTTAATTCCTGTTATTTTTTGGTGGGAGTGTTGTATGTTTCCCTTCTTTGGTATTCATTGGTGGGGGCTTATCTATTGCCTGTGTTTTCATGGGTGTATCTAACTTCCTTGGGTTGGATTGTGGTGATATTTTATTTGTGCTGAAATGTGATATTTTATTAGTATGTTAATAAATAAAGTTTTCCTGGAGATCAGAGGTCATAGCAAGCCATAAACAGAAGTCAGGCTATGGTGGCACATGGCAGGCAGATTCTCTGTGTGTTCAAGGACACAGCCAAGTATGATACATGCCTTTAATCCCAGTACCAACCATAGAGGCCTGGAGGTCTGTATAGACAGGCAGTGATGAGGAAGTGATATGGCTGGGCTTAGAGCCAATGAGAAGGCATAACAGGAAGGCAATAAAGGTGCAGGTTAGACAGGAAGAAGTTCTCTTGGGAAGCTGCAGCGAGGTGGTAAGCTAAGGTTAGTTGGTGGCTATTGCTCTGATCTCTATGGCTTGAAACTCTGTATTTAGCTCTGTGTTTCTTATTTAATAAGACTGTTTAGAAATTCATCTACATTGGATTTTTACTTCTAGTGCTTTTTGTAGGACTGGATTTGTGGATAGGTATTGTTTAAATCTGGTTTTATCATGGAATATATCATGTTTACTCTGTCTATGGTGATTGAGAGTTTTGCTGGGTATAATAGTCTGGGTTGCCATCCATGGTCTCTTAGTGTCTGCATAATGTCTGTACAGGACCTTCTATCTTTCAGAGTCTCCATTGAGAAGTCAGGTATTATTCTGATGGGTCTCCCTTTATATGTTACTTAGCCTTTTTCCTTTGCAGCTCTTAATATTTTTTCTTTATTCTGTATGTTTAGTGGTTTGATTATTGATTTCTTCTAATTTTTTGTTTTTCTTTTCCTCGATTTCTTTAAGGGAATTTTTCCTTTTCTCTTTAAAGGCCTCTATCATTTTCCTAAAGTGATTTTTATGGTCGATTCCTTCTGCTTCTTCTGTGATGGGATGTTCAGATCTTGCTGATGTGGAATCACTAGTTTCTGGTGATGCCATATTGTTCTTTATGTTGTGGAATGTATTTTTGCACTGGCATCTACTCATCTCTTCCTCCAATCAGTGCAAATGGTGTCTGTGACTCAGGGAGCCTCTTTTGATCCAGTTGACACTCTTGGTCCAATGGAAGCTCTTGTTCCAATAGGAGCTGGCAGAGTCTGTGTCTCAGGAAGCAGTTGTGATCTCAGAGGATTGGTTGGGTTTGTGGTGTGGGATGGGGCTTGTAGGTTACAGGTTCTGATGGGGGATGGCTGTAGTCCAGCCTGCCTGCAGGAGTCCTGCCTTCTGGCCTGCAACTTGGCCTGCAATGGGTGGGGGTATGGGGGCAAGGGTTGTGCCCATAGGCCTAAAGCCTAGAGGCTGGGGTGGTTGACTAGGAGAACAAAGACTCATCTCTTAGTCCAATCAGCACTGGCAGAGTCTGTGTCCAAAATTTCTTGAGTAATTAGCAATGTTATCCATGTGACTGATTTTTGAAAACATTAAAATTATGACTTTTCCCTAAAAACATTGCAGCATAATTATCATATTGGCCTATAAAAATTTTAAATTAGGTGGGAAGAGGTACAAAGATAATAAAGAATGTCATGTGTAAGTAAATTGGGTGCATTTTATCTTAGCATTCTCTCTAGATGTGAGATCACTCCTCTGGGCCAAATCATCAAATATCATATGCTCTACTTCTGGAAACCAAGCCAAGCCTTTTGCAAAAACTATACTTTTAAAAGTCACATTACCAATGAAAGATGTGTTATTTCCTGTGTTCTTGGAGGAATGTTTATAAACAACAAAGTCAGGAAACAGGCCAGAGCAAAACCTTTGGCCACACGTATGTCCTTGGCTGCAAAGGTATCTCTGTGGTAGAAGGACTTGCTGCCAGTAGCAGACGAAAGGAAGAGGAACCTGTAATACTACACCTTTGAATGTCATCCTGTCTGCCTGAGAGACATGAAGACCCAAACAATATGTATAATAAAGGGTCCTTTGCTGTTTCTGAGCCTGACTGATAACTCACTATATAGCCTAAATCCACCTCAAGCTCACAGTCATCTTATTTCTAGTTGCCAGGTGTAGATTGTCCTTCTTTTCCACCCCTACCAACACACTTGATAGTTGATAATGGGGAGCTAAAAGTAGAATAATGATACCCATGTCTCATACATGATAATGAACATTTCTCATATATGTATACTTTTCACTCTATTATCAATAATGCTTAACTCTTCATAATATATGCTATATATTCTAGAGTATGCAGGACCATGCATGAAGCTGGTTCCATACAGAGAGAAATGAAAGCAGAAAATGCATGCAAAACTGTGTGTAGGGACAGTCTTCATTGAACAGCATAATAATGTGATTAAAGTTGAAAGGGAACCAGCTAGAGCATATTTCCTGCAGTGCCATTATAATAAGAGATCATTTCTCCCAGGGGTTGAAGATGATCATATTTTGCTGATAGTGGGTCTCCTTTGAGTCCTTTGGCCTCTGCCCCCGCAAAAGCTGCCAGCAAAGCAGAGAATTGGGAAAATTCTTTTTAAAAAAACTACATTTGTGTTGTGAAAGATACAAAAGTTCAGAAGCAATGTTGAATATTTCATAAAGTCTTATTTTTTCTCCATATCTAATTTAGATTTCATTCTTGCTTTTCTAGAAGGAAAATGCTAAATTAAACTTCACACACACAGAGAGACACACTGCACACACTGAAACATCATAGTAAAAGTTCTTATGAGCTTGTAATGGTATTTTGAATTATAATCTATATAGTAGTAACATACAGTTGCCTATGTCTGGAAAGAGATTCTGTGCATTAGCTTTACAGAATAGTAATCTGGCGGGTATGAGGATAGTTCAACTATTAAATACCCACTGGATCTTTCTGAATTTCAAAGGTCTAAGCATAATTTGGAAATATTTTAGTGAATCAAAATATTTCCTTGCTACCAATTCTTATTTTGAGAACCTTATTTCAAAACATGTGATGTGCTTCTGCGGTAATTCCTTTTCTCCTCACAGCCTGACACCTGGAGAACTCATTGTGGAAGGAAGAATGTCGAATGCATTGCGAGTCATCACCAACAGAGGGATACTGAGCAGCAAGGCCTTCCTTTCTCAGCTGACAATTTGTCTGGTAATGACACGAGACAGGGGGACACACAGTTGGTTTTCCACCTCCAGATCCTGTTGGCAGAGCTGATCACAATAATCGACTTCTTCTGTCAATGGGCTAAGAGAATGTGACATGGGATGGCTTTGTGACTCAGAAGTGTTAGTATTAAAGCAACAGCCGCTTTCTCTATCACAAGCGAAATCACCCTCCCCCTCACCCCATATATCACACACATGCAGCTGTGAACAGGGTTTTCTCAGGTCCAGATCGCTGTGGCGTGTAGGTGGAGGGTCTCTTCATGATCCTCTTCTCTGATGGTAGTTGATTCATTAGTTCCTTTCTCTAATGTTGGTTGCTATTTTTAGCTTCTCTAAAGTATTTTTCTTTCTTAGCTTTTCAACATCTCCATTTACTTTTACCAGTAGAATCAAGTCATGTGGCTTTTAAGATGAGCAAAAAAGCCAGAGCTACTGTAAGATTTGCTGCTTAGGAAAGTCCTAAAAATGAGCAGGAAACAACTGTGATTTGGGTGGGGTGATTGGATCCAGAGCCACATGACAACAGGCCCCTTGTAGGTACATTATTAGGGTAAATTGTGTGTATGTGTGTGGGGCGGCACAAGAGGAACAGTCAGAAATACAGAAAGACAGAGAAAGATTCTTAAAATGTTCCATCCTGAAGTTGCACATACCTGCTTCAGTCATCAGTTGCATCATTTCTTAAGTACAATGACCACCCAGTCTTGCCCTGTTAGCCCCATAACATAATGAAGTAGAAAATGGTGAGTTCTGAGCTACAGTAGACAGATTGTGGATGAACCTCATTAATAGTCCCTAACTCTACATGGAAGCTTCATTTTTTTTTGTCCTACAGATAGTGAGAAATCACAGAATCTTTATTTTTAAACATAAAAATCATGGACCAATGGGAACTCAGAGAGTAGATGTGCGAAGAGCTTGCAGCAACATGGAAAACCACATAGCTTTAAAGGCTTAATTTTTTTCTTCATTTTTTCCCATTTGGGACTCTCTTTTCCCAATTTTTTTGTAATAGTCAGAGAGGCAGGTTCTCCACACAGTGACTGGGATTACATCAACTTAAACTTCTGTGAAATGAGGTTTTTTAAAAGGGGGAGCTTTTATAGAACACACTTAAATCACCATGTCCACCTTTGATGGAAATGAAGTGAAAATACTTATCTTCTAATATTTTCCCAAATATGCTTAGGGTATTCATAAATGTGGCGGTGGTGGTTTTTCCTCTCCTGCTTTCACATTTTAACACAATATGCTTTTATCAATATGTGAAAACTGTTGGTCCTCTGAAACCATTTTTTCAGTATTCAAGTAGAGTTCAAAATTCTAAGGCAGCACCAGACTTGTTTTGTACATGAAGGTGACAACAAGAAGTGACAGCGAGAAGCTGAAAACCTTCTTTGGTGTTGTCTAGTTGCATAAATGAGTGCACAGGCATGTACACACTAGTCCGGTTCTGCACATGCATACTCACTGATGTGTATGACCTTATATTCCGGGTCACAGCGATGTCTTGACTTTCATACTTAAAGCTTGCTTTACACAAAGAGGAGCGCCAAATACTATCAGTTAAATTAGGAAGGACAGTTTCAGGGAAATTGATTTCTGTAGGCCGAATTCCCTGAAATCACTCAAAGTCCTTGTTGCTGTTCAGATGCCCCATTAATCTTTATAGAGCTCCATCGACGTTGGCGGCAGCGGCCTTCCCGTACAGTGCTCAGGGCAGATGTGAACAGCACACTGTGGTCCAGGGATTCAGGTCTAATTCGACAGAACTCACATTAGGCCTTTAAACTAAGCTGAAAATGGTATCAAAGGGATTTATAAAGACGGGTGTAAATTTTATAACATGGTGCTCACCCTGTCCCTGGTGGAGCTGAATCGGGAGATGCTTGTTTCTTGAATTGTTTCCCAGGTCATCTTATGTGACCGGAAATGTAATAAGCACCTGACTCACAGCTTGGGGAGTGTTTCTCATCCACTTCTGCCTCCTCTGCTGGGCGCTTGTGAGTTTGTGAAGCAGCGAAGACAGCAGTTTGAGGGAGCCAAAACCTAACCAAGTTAGGCCCAAATCTGCATACTCCATCCACGATCAGACAAAGTCTGGATGAAGACAAAGTCTGACAAAACAGATCATGCAAAGATGTCAGGAAGATTCAGTATGATAGATGCTGATGATCCCAAGCCCAGGCAAAACTGTGTAGCGTCCGCAGCGCTCCAATTTCATGACTCTGTGAGAGTCACTCTTCCCGAAAGAAAGAAAAAATAAAAATAAAAAACTATCCTGGATTTCCAGGTATTCTAGCCAATAGATGTAGCTCTTTAACAAATGATAATAGAACGGGCCAAGAATATTTAAGAGGAAGTAGATTTGGAAATGTAGACTTATTCCTGGAAAAAACAAAGGTTGTGCTTTTCCTCCTTCATCTCTCATAAACTCTCATCCATATTGTGGGTCTGTATTTCTCAGACTTAGGACTCAGAGGAAAGACGTTAGCAATCTCTATGTGAATATATGACGTTCAGACAGACTGTGTCCACATGTTCTAATTAGTATGTACAACTAGACGGTGGTGTTCAAAAATATTGGAAATTTATTAAAAGTGTGAGCAATTTATTGTTAGCATTTAAAAAAGTGAGGCAGAAGTATTGACTGGAGTAGGGGACAAGAGAAAAGCACAGTGACTTTACGGATGGCATTATTCTATGTCTAGCAAAATCAGGAGACGTATGTTAAATCTTGAGATACAACCTGTTCTCCAAAGCAGCGTCCTCTTTCATGTGAAAATGAAAGAAATTAAATATAGACAGACAGATAAAGAGGATTTATACTATTTTCAAGGTAATTTATTTCCAGTGCTTACTTTCTTGGCTTTATTTTCTGCATTAAACTCTATAAAACCTCTCTTGATTAAGTTCCCTCAAGCACGGCTGCGTGAGGCAGTCCAAAACATACATGAGTTTGGTCATAAAGTGCGTTTTACACCTCTTGTCAAAACAAAACCAAAAATCAGGAGAATATCTGGAATCTCATAAAACAGAGTTGAAGAGGGAGAGAGATGCATTAAAATCTCTAATATCTGACATTCACAGAGTGGCATGAGGGTAATTCAGACACTTCTGCTGGCATCAACCCGAGGAGACTATGCATTTTTGCTTTCAGAGTTGCATACAGACAGCCTTCCTTTGTCGTTCTTCCTCTGGGTATGCTGCTAAAATTGATAGAAAAAAAAGAGTGACATGTTCAAGTTGATGCACCATTTCACAAAAAAAGAAAGAGAGAGACAGAGACAGAGAAAGAAAGAAAAGAAAAACTGGTTTGTGAATTACCCAGGACTGCAGCTTTAAATAAATCTTGGCTAAAAGAAAACTGGAATGCATTCTCACATTCAAAAATTTGGAATTTGAACTGTCCTTGTACTTTTAGGCTGTGTGTATGTGTGTGTGTGTGTGTGTGTTCACGTGTCTGAATCCAAATTCCTGTTCCATGGAATGCATGAGGAGGTCAGACCTTGGGTCTCAGTTTTCACCCTCCAGCTTGTTGAACACAGGGTCTTTGTTTGTTCATGCTTATAGCATCATTGACTGGCCTGTGAGCTTCTGGGATTACTTTGTCTTTGCCTCCCATTCCTAAGATTACAGACGCTTATTGTAGCCTCCTGCTTTTGTGTTCCTTCTGGGAATCTGAACTGAGATCCTCATGTTTATGCAGCAAGTACTTTTCCCCATTAATCTGTCTTCCCAACCCAGACAAGTATTCTATAAACAAGTTGACATTGATCGTATAGGTCCCCTATTAGTTCTGATCCATGATTTTGCTGGAGTGTGTATGATGCAATAGGTACAGTGCAGACGTGACCACAGATAACACTTTTTGAGGCTTAAAGAATGTTTCCTATGTTATAAGCAGCAATATCTGTAATAATTAGGGATTGTATGCTTGAGTAATTACCAAGTTCATATGTTAGTCCTTAAGATGCCAATGTGATATCATTTGGAGGTGTGTACTTGGGGAGCTACTTAGGTCATAAAGAAAGAGGCTGTTTTTGGATTCATTGCCTCATTTGGAGATGAAAAGAAGACAGTTCTCTGCCATTTGGCAATATATATATATATATATATATTGCCAAATGGCAGAGAACTGTCTTCTTTTCATCTCCAAATGAGGCAATGAATCCAAAAACAGCCTCTTTCTTTATGACCTAAGTAGCTCCCCAAGTACACACCTCCAAATGATATCACATTGGCATCTTAAGGACTAACATATGAACTTGGTAATTACTCAAGCATACAATCCCTAATTATTACAGATATTGCTGCTTATAACATAGGAAACATTCTTTAAGCCTCAAAAAGTGTTATCTGTGGTCACGTCTGCACTGTACCTATTGCATCATACACACTCCAGCAAAATCATGGATCAGAACTAATAGGGGACCTATACGATCAATGTCAACTTGTTTATAGAATACTTGTCTGGGTTGGGAAGACAGATTAATGGGGAAAAGTACTTGCTGCATAAACATGAGGATCTCAGTTCAGATTCCCAGAAGGAACACAAAAGCAGGAGGCTACAATAAGCGTCTGTAATCTTAGGAATGGGAGGCAAAGACAAAGTAATCCCAGAAGCTCACAGGCCAGTCAATGATGCTATAAGCATGAACAAACAAAGACCCTGTGTTCAACAAGCTGGAGGGTGAAAACTGAGACCCAAGGTCTGACCTCCTCATGCATTCCATGGAACAGGAATTTGGATTCAGACACGTGAACACACACACACACACACA